GGGGGGTCCCTGCCTTCATTGGTAAACATATGTCTTTCAAACCAAGACAATGACTTAGGAGCACTATGAAGATATAGAGGTTGTGACAGATTTACAGAAATACTGGTATTCTGATATGCAGAATGAATGAATAAATGGAAGGGTGTGTGAAAGCACCAGAAGAAAGAACAAAGACTCAGACAATGGTACTCACAGCCAGAAACATCATTAACAGCAATAAAACTGGGAGAGGTACTGTTTACACACCCCAAGGCCAGCACTCAGCTGAGGCTCTGCACAGGTGACCTGCCACTGGAGACCCATGCTCTGAAAGCAGGAAAATGGTCACACCAGCCTCTCCACACCTCTGTCCTTCCCTTCATTCCAAGAGGGACAGGTGGGAAAATCATTATAATGGGGGGAAAGCACGCCTAAGATTGATAGAGCACCAAGTAAGCAGGACTTAGAGGCAAAAAGATGGCAGCATAAGAGTTGATGGCTATGACATGGCCATCCATTTCCATGACAGGAAACTTGACCAAAACCCACCCTGTCACCACCAACTCAGCAGAGCAACCCAGCAGAGAAAGAGAGGATGGGAGAGCTGAGGGTCCTTGTCTTTTCGGGTTTTCGGCAGACCACCTGTGCACATGCATGTTGATGGTTGCAAGTATTTAGCTGTGATATTGTGAATGAATAAAATATGAGAAAATAAACTTGAATCTATAAATTTAGTTTATGTAGTGCTTTTGCAAATAAACAATCACCTTCCTCCTCCAGTAGGATCTTGCACTGAAATCTGTTGCAGTCATTTTTTCAAACTTCACCTTGCATAGCACCTTGTATTTGCTAACACTGAAAGGTATGCAGTGTGAGAAGAGCCAAAGAATTCTCTTGGTGTAGTCCTTCTACAGTCTGGGCAGGGCAAAGGAGAGGTACTAAATGCTGCCTTTTGATCTGTGTGTTGCTGAACAGTTAAATGCAATGGTATGATTAACAGGGCCTAGAAAGAGAGTGACATACTCAAATGTTATCCTCACAGGGGACTACAATAATATTTACAACTGATTTTGTACATATGTCATTAATAATTAACCTTGTGTTTTGACCTAAAGAGCGCAGGTGAGTCAGTTACTCTCAGTGCCTGAGGATATGCCCCCACACCATTATGTGCTTACCATACTACGAGAAGACCCAAATCCCCCTGAAGAAGCAGGTGAGCGAGAGAGGTGTATTTTGGGTGTGAGCAAAACACAGCATTTGGCAATTCACAGAATAATTTAGTTTGCCGAAGTGCAGCGAGGCAGAAGGCCCAGTGGGACAGTGAAGTATTGTGCTGAGAAGAGGAAACTGTAGATGAACCCAGGGTATCACACAGCTTCGCGCTGCCACCTCTCACAGCAGAGCTCTTCCTGAGGCAGCCCATGGTCCCAGCACGGGTTCCTCAGCCCAGCAGAGTAAGAAGACGGGGAATGTTCCTCTTTCGATATAGAGTGGGTGGCACTGGGAGCTGTGCAATACCAGGCTATGAGATTTTGTGATACAAGATTATGGCTACACTGTCACACCAACTGTGGTGCCGCCTCCCAGCACTCCCCACTGTGTTTTTGCACTTATTTATAATCAGTCTTTGAGCTGTCAGAGTGCGGAGTGGTCTTCTCTGCCCATTTTGCACACCTTTACACCTCTGACCCGGAGTGCAGAATGTTTTGAAAACAGAAGTCAGAGTTGTCCATTTTCAGTAAGAGAGAGGAAGTGCTTTATCGTGTTTGTGATTAACTGCTAAAAAAAAAAAAAAAAAAAAAAAAAAAAAAAAAAAAAAAAAAAAAAAAAAAAGCAAACAAAAAACCAATTGAAGAAACCTCCACCATCAATCTGGAGGTTTTAGAAAAGAAACAAGTCCATCTCACCAGAAGCATCCCTGCAGGTACCACTCACTCGGAACAGGAGCTCGCACAGTCCCACGGGCAGGACACTCAGACCGAGGCCACAGATGCCCGGGACAGTGGCTGCGATGGCCTAAGGCTCCCGCGAGCCTCCTGCTTCCCCCCGAGCCCCAGCCCAGCCTGCCCCGGAGCCGCGGCGGGTCCGCAGCGAGTGCCGGCACGGCACGCGACCCAGTGGCCGCGACTGATCCAAAAATGATCTGAGCAAGACTCCGCAACTTATATAATTTTAARTTGTGAAGTAGGTATGTTTATTGCAGCGCTGGGTGAGCAGGAGGTACTCCTCTAAGCCGCCYACCCYGYAGCACGG